CATGGTGTTTATTTATTTCTCCGATAGCAACCTGACTTCTTACTGGAGTGTTTTCTCCCCCTCACTGAGTGTAGCTGTTTGTTGAGTGATTCTTAGGATGACCCCCGCTGCCTCAGCTCCCTGGGCTGTCTCTCCCAGGACCCTGACCTGAGTCAGTGCAGGGTCACCCCTGTAGCAGCGGCCCCGGACAGGCTGTGCCAGTCATGAGATGGTTGCTATGCATTGCTCCCTGCTTCTTTGCCTCCGGAATCTTGCTTGGCTCCTGTCTGCCCTGAGCCTGGCTCCCCTGGCTCCTGTGGGCTCTGTGAACACCCCTTCCTCAGCCAAGGTACCAGCCTGTGAATCCCCTTTTGCTTCAGTTAAGCAGGCTTGTTTCTGTCCTTAGAGTCAAAGAACTCCAACTGATGGCTTCCACAGTGATACTCCGAAGAAGTTATATAGCAATACATATTCTTGGGTTTTCTCTTCTTTTTGCTTACTGGTATTTTCCAATTTGCTTTAAAAGTACCATAATAATTTTTAGAGGATTTTACATTTTACATTGAAAGGGAGATAACTGATTAGGGTGCAGCAAGAAAATTAGAATTTCTGTTTTAATTTATACACTATCTTCAAAATTAGAATGAGAGCTCACCAACATGTAATACGGATGGACATTAACATCATCACTGGATCTGTGTGTGAGGCAATCACTTATCAGGAAGGCAGGCAGGTGTCCCAAGGGCAGCATGTGGGTGCCTTCACTCCCACACACGCTTTCACCTTGCTTAGTGCAGTGGTCTTACTAATGTTATGGGTGTCAGGTAAACGGAGGATTCACAGGTGTTATCTAGTTTTAACAAAACTAGCCCTAATAGGGGCTTCCCTGGTGGCGCAGTGGTTGAGAGTCCGCCTGCCGATGCAGGGGACACGGGTTCATGCCCCGGTCCGGGAAGATCCCACATGCCGCGGAGCGGCTAGGCCCGTGAGCCATGGCCGCTGAGCCTGTGCGTCCGGAGCCTGCAACGGGAGAGGCCACAACAGTGAGAGGCCTGTGTACAGCAAAAACAACAACAACAACAACAAAAAAAAAACTAGCCCTAATAAACTGATAAGAGGCTAAAATAGTTTCCTACAAAGTAACCTTGAATTGAAAATAATACTAATACTCTAAACAGAAGTGAACTTCAGGAAAATGGCAGAGCTACAATTCTCCTCCAAGGTAAAAACTATGACAGTCTCATCCGATTTGATGAGAAGTAACTAAGAAATATTGTAAATTGTCAAGAAGAATGGTTGTAAAATAGATTTACCTTTACTATCACTATCACTGAACTCTGCCTAAGTAAATAAATATCATGCCTTGAGCAGGTAAACAGGTCCAGAACGGAGCCATCATAATTAGCAAGACATTTAGAAACTAAGCGTTCAGAACACAAAAATAAACCTCGACATTTTTAAAGCTATACTTAAAGTCAGGTGATACTCAATCCATACTTTAATGAATTCCATAATCAGCGATAAATGGTTAGAAGCCTCTTTCAGGAAGTCTTACTGAGTAGCTGAAGACTTACTAGGGAAGTACCAAGAGATACTTGGCACTTTGTTCAGTCACTCATAAAACTATGTCCTGAATTTCAGAATGTGCCGCTTTATCTCATCTCTTTCTCCAAAGAACTAGAGTTGGCCCCAAGTTTTCAACTTTGTGAATATTTTTTTCAGAAAAATGAAACACCTTTCCTCAAATGAATAAGAGCATTTTCTCCAGGGGGTGAGATGAATAATTCATGTTGCTCTAAAAGCACTATGACTGATAGCAATTTTTTTTGGTTTTTAAAGAAGAAAGATCCAGCAATCTCACTTACCGATATATATCCAAAAGAATTGAAAGTAGGGTCTCAAAAAGATACCTGCACACTCATATTCACAGCAGTATTACTCACAACAGGCAAGAGGTGAAAGCAATTCAAGTGTCCACCAATGGATGAATGCATAAACAAAATGTGGTATGTACAAATAAGGGAATACTATTCAGCTTTTAAAAGGAAGGAGGGGCTTCCCTGGTGGCGCAGTGGTTGAGAGTCCGCCTGCCGATGCAGGGGACACGGGTTCGTGCCCCGGTCCGGGAAGATCCCACATGCTGCGGAGTGGCTAGGCCCGTGAGCCATGGCCGCTGAGCCTGCGCGTCCGGAGCCCGTGCTCCGCAACGGGAGAGGCCACAACAGTGAGAGGCCCGCGAACAAAAAAAAAAAAAAAAAAAAAAAAAAAAAAAAAAAAAGGAAGGAAACTCTGTCACATGCTACATCATGGTTGAACTCTGAGGACATTAAGCTAAGTGAAATAGGCCAGTCACAGAAGGACAAATACTGCATGATTCCACTTACATGAGATACCCAGAGTAGTCCAACTCATAGAAACAAAGTAGAATGGTGTTGCCAGGAGCTGGGGGCAGGGAGAAAGGGGAGCTGGTTGATGGGTATAGTATTTCAGATTGGTAAGGTGAGAAAGTTCTGGAGATCTATTTTACAACAATGTGAATATACTTATTAACGCTACTGAACTGTGCACTTAAGTATGGCTGAGATGGTAAATTTTACGCCAGCTGGTTTTTGCTACAATTAAAAAAAAAACGACAAACCATCTCCTAAAATCTCCTAATTGCACATTCTAGAAAGAAACGTGACCGCTTATAACTAATAACACCACGACAGCGAATCTCCTGGTATCTCCACCAGTACCTCAGGTGTCTCATCACCTTCACCCCACAGATCATATTATTATCTACCTACAGTTCCACACTCCTGACTCTCTATACCCAGGCAGCAGGTTGGCCTACTTGTCTGTCTCTCCCTTCCTTCCCACGCCCTCTCTTTCTCCTTTTGCTCCTTCCCTTCCTCTCTCCCTCCCTTGCTGTTTTTCCTGTAAATAATCATTTCTGTCACACTTTAATCTTTAAAGAATTTTCACTTTCATTATCTCATTTACACACCAGCCCTGTAAGGTAGGTGTTCTTTCCACTTTACGAATAAGATGCAGAGACCCAGCAATATTAAACACGTGCACCAATCACCTACGCACCAAGTGGCAGAGCCCAGTTCCAAATCCCACACTTTCACAATGTAACACTGCCCCAGACAGTGGTTCTTACACTGTAGCATGCGTAAGGCTCCCCTGGGAATATCTGTGAAAATGTGGGTTCCTGGGTCCCACCTCCAGAGAGTCTGTTCTAGGGGTCTGGAATGGGACCCAGGAGTCTGAATTTCTAACAAGCACCCCCTCCCAGGTGCATCTAAGCAGGTGATAAGTAACCTACACTTTCACTAGGTGCAGGCCTCGGAGACAGCCACGCCTGGCACAGGCAGGGCACGTTACCATGAGGATCTCTGCTTACTTAACCTGCCCAGAAGGGGCAATGCAGAGACATGGATCTTCTATAGGGAACTGGCTATATAAACAAGGTACTTTCTTAACTGGAAGCAGTTAGAAAAGGGAAAGAAAGGAAAGCAGGAAGGAAGGAGAGAAAGCCCTAAATGCACCTCATTCCACAGAAAATAATCCTGCCAGTGAAAATCCCAACCAGCCTGTCGTCTCAGACATTCTTCTTAATCTCTTACCGTTGGACACTCGGACATTTGGTACATGCAAAGGGGACTACATCTGCCCTGCTTTTGGAAGGTGGAAGAAGAACTAGAGTTGGGCTCTTTATTTTCCAGACAGAGATGCACAGGAGGGAAGCACCTGATCCAGACTGAGTCACAAGCAAAGCCTAGGTCAGGGTGCAAGGATCTCCAGACTGCCAGGCCTGCACCCCGGACCCTGAGTCATGCAGCTTCCCCAGCCCAGACGTGTGAGAACGGACCTGTCTTTCCACAGGGCCTGGTATGGCAGGCTTTGCAGAAGCCCAGAGTCATAAGGACAAGCAAACTATCTACACAGGAGACCAAGCACTCTTCTTGCCAGGAAAATGCCATTGTGATTTAAGTTGGATGTTGAGGGCTAAGATGAGTGAAAAGAGGTAAAATATGGATCAAAATTGTTAGAGTATAAAGAAAAGTGTTCCTTTTTGTGCAGGCCCAGCGGCCCTGGCTCACGGGCCCAGCTGCTCTGCGGCATGTGGGATCTTCCCGGACCGGGGCACGAACCCGTGTCCCCTGCATCGGCAGGCGGACTCTCAACCACTGCACCACTAGGGAAGCCCCCAAGAAAAGTGTTCCTTTTGCAAATATGCTACATTTATTCTGCAGCTAGGAGATAAAGATGAGATTTCTGTGGGAAGCCTGTTGTACTTTTTCATGGCCTTATAAAAACAAATTTGTGCTAAAGTGAATCATATTCCATAAAGCTAACTCTTATGACTACTGAAGAGATAGTATTTCCTTGAGACGGGGAGTGAAGTTTGACATCAGTCAGAACTTTTGAAAGAATTCTAGAAGGTGAGACTTGGGGGTACCCAATCCTGAGGCATCCTTCCCGAGAAAAGAATATGATATCACCATTTATGAAGCGACTGGGGCTAATTCACCAGCCTGCATTTCTCTGGTATGACCAGGGTCACGCAGGGTAACGGGCTTAGAGAAGACAAGTCAGAGCTGCCTTGTGGGCTCTGAACAAGTCCGTGCCTGGGCTTATGCGTTGGGCACCAGCACACGCTTTCACGCTACATGTTGGTGCAGGCCGCTGCTGCTAAATGATATGCCTCTGGGTATACTTCCACCTTCAAGGGTGTTCATGTCTCTGGCACCCTCCTTTCCGGCTGCAGTGTGTCGCCTATCATAAGCCACCTGTCTGCTAAAGCTCTGGGGGTCACCACACCCCTTGCCTCATACTTCTCTGCCCTGGCCTAAGGGCATGTGGCTCGTGTTCATCTCTGGGTGGCGATTCTAAACAAGCACGGCGGAGTGAGTGGCACATCAGGCCTCCACTTGGCTCTCACCCCGGCATAATCTCGGGACACCAGTGCAGGAAGAAATGTCTCCCATTACCACACTTCTGTGGTTACTTTTCATAAAACCTTCTATAAATGATGATTCCTCAGCATCATTTTTATTCACTATTTTTCAAATGGGATGACCACATATTAATCATTTAAACCAGGACACTTCCAAGAGGGAGATCTATTAACAACTACACTGGGACAACAAACGTAGGCTGCGACCACCCTGGGTAACCCAAGACACACGGTCACCCTGCTTAGGAAGTAGATGAGCTGCACGAAGACGACACATGAAGCAGAGGCCCAGCCGACGCCAGGTGACACAAAACGTGAACAAAAAAGAACTCTTACTGTAGTAAGCCCTGAGCTCTTGCGTTGTTTGGTATCACAGCATAACCTAGCACAAACTGATGAATACAACCCCTTATAGCTGTGACCCATATCGCTGGGTGCCTGGGAGGATTAAATCAGCTAATATATAAAAAGCACTCAGATCAGTGCCCGGCACATAGTGAGCAGTCCCCAGATGTTAGCTATTATTATTAATTATAATAATAACATAGGAGAATGAAGGAACACTCTAAAAACACAGTGAAGTCAAATTTCAAGCAAAGCATGTAATTACTCAGGAATGGCAGGAAAGCCCATCATCTCTCGCTCCCCCTGCACAGCTGTTTGCCCCTTTGGAGGCCATGAGGCCCTGCCTCCGTCTCTCGGTCTGAGAGCCCACTCCTACCTGTATGTATCTCTACTACTCAGACTCCAGAGAGCATTGTTACAACTGCTTTCTCGTGAATTCCTCTACTCCCTTGACCTTTGGTTGCCTCCATCTCACTCAGATGACAAACCTTAACCCTGAATCAATACAACAATCCATCATTTTTGCTCGTGGGCCCGAGTTACTGAACAAAATCCTCCAGGATTTCTTGAAATTCTTACATGGGCTCTTTCTCAACTCTTTCTCCCATTTCCCACAAGAGATATTTCCAAATTTTACCATTCTCCTCAAGCTCTGTAACCTACCACCGTCCTCTTCACTCAGGAAGCAACTAGAGGCCCTGCATGTGCCCTGTCTGAAATGTGGTTGCTGATTGACTTGCAGGTCTCCCTCACTAAACTGTGATCTCGACTAGTTAGGGACTGATTCACCGTGCAACTCCAGCTCCTAGTACATTATCTAATAATTCTCAGTAAATGTTTCATGAATGAATGAATGGACAATGATAGAGTCTCTTAAGTAGCAGCCCCCTGCATGCCTAGGAGGAAGAATCACAAGCAGCATGTATATATGTATATATAGGCACATGTAGTGGTGAAGCATCTTTAAATAGAGATCACTGTGTGTGTGTGTGTGTGTGTGTGTGTATGAAAGAATGATACAGGTTATGGAAGATTATTCATTTTCCTTTATCTTACTTTCCCCTTTGCTTTTCCATTGTGATTCTTTGTGCTCAGATAACTTTATCCCGCTCTTTCAACAGCTGTACCTCCTGCACCCCATAACATTTCTCAATTTTCTTACTCAGTATTCAGGACAATATTCTCATGACAGGTATTCTGAATAGGTTAAGAATTCTAAAGACCACAAGAGAATTGCCACTTCCTTACATTACCAATTTCCAATCAGTCTTCTTTGCTCAAGGTTCAATTATCTCAACTCCTTTAGCTATTCCATAAATGGCAGGTAACATGCAAGATCAGCAAATTTAAATTTTTATGCTAAGTTACTATCATCTCAAATGAGATTTATAATTGGCACTCATAAGAAATTAATTATTAATATCCGCTTCAATGACTTTCCTTCCACATTCTGATTGCTGAAGTGTTCGCTGTTTTAAAAAGAAGCTGTCATCACATTACTACTCATTTTCAATTTATGGTCATTCTGCCCCAAGATCTTTATAAGCAAAACTTTGGGTCATTCTAATCATTCTTCATTTTGTCAGCTTAATTAATTTGAAAGTAACCTGGATTTAATTGTAGACAATTAGTAACAATCCATGGATAATGTTAAATATTTTAAGAATAGTTTTAAAATAATTAGCAGTTTGTCATTCCATAGGGCTAGACATACTAAATAAATTTGTTTTACACTGTTATGATCACCTTTAAAAAACAAAATATCTTGAAATAGTTGTCACAAGGCATTAATTAGCAATATGTAGGAATTATAAAATGTGAAATTAACAAGGACAAGCAATTCTTAAAATGATCTTTCAATTAGAAATGAAGTCTGTAGAGTGTTTAATTTTCATCTATCACCATCATTGTTATATAGTCCTTGTAATGAATTGAATTCGATTCTGGATCAATTGCAGCAGACAACATTTCTTCCATTTCCTCCTGAGAAAAACGCTCACCTGGGAAGAACAAGAAGGGAAACTCATCATTTACAATCCTCTGATGTTTTTTTTCTCTTTCCACTAGCCCACTTAACTGCCGTGGAGCGCCACCATCCCCCATTGCGTCTCTAGTTACTCTCCCTGGGGCCATAAAGCCAGCACATCGTGACAGTCCAGAGGTTCAAAGAGCATGCTGTGGGACCCCTGGCAAATTCTGGAGTTATTTTACCTTGCAGGTATCGTATCTCAAGCAACCTATAGAATCAATCGTTTCAGCCAAAACAGCAGGAGGACACGAAAACATCATAAATAAGGTTGTTTATTTACTTAAATTAAAACCACTAAAATCGCCAAAGGATTAACCTGAAGTCATAGTTTTACAGGGAGTCTAATCATTATATTTAGTAAGGGTATGAAGAAAGGATTAACTGGTTGCTATGCAGAAATGCTGAAGAAGAGACAACAGAGGTTTAAGCTATGACAATGTCTATGAATATTCTCTAACCAGGGTAGGTCAATTTAGTGATCCAGCTGCACCCAGTGACAGATGCATTCATCAGCCAGTTCAAAACAGTCCTCTTCGCTATAGTTCGGCCCAGTGCTGCCGTCAAATGAAACCACAAGCTGGATAGAAAATCTGTGGGCTTTAGCTGGATTCGGGTAATAGCTGAAGGCCATCTTGGATATTGGTTTCACCAAGATGAAAAGCAAATTCAGGAAGAACACTGGAAACACTGTCATCTATTTAAGATAGAACTTTGTGCTGATATTAAACAAAAATACAGAAACATCCAAATCGCCAGCTCACCCCTAAAGAGTCTTAATCCAAGCAGGTAAATTTCTGAGTTTGTCACCTGCCACTACAAACAACGCTTTCTAAGGTGGAATTCAGTTAATAATACAGAAATTATTCAAGTGGCGATTTTTATGACAATGATGATAGTATTACCAAACAATGGGAATGTGCTTGAGTTCTTCTGAAATCATGTTTACGTCCTAAGGAAAGAAAGAATGCCTAAAATGCCTAAAAAGACAATTTCTTTTTTTATAAATTTTATTTATTCATTTATTTAATTTTTTAGCTGCATTGGGTCTTCGCTGCTGCACACGGGTTTTCTCTAGTTGCTGAGAGCGGGGGTTACTCTTTGCGGCGGCGCGTGGGCTTCTCATTGTGGTGGCTTCTCTTGTTGCAGAGCACGGGCTCTAGGCGCCCAGGCTTCAGCAGTTGTGGCTCGTAGGCTCAGTAGTTGTGGCTCGTGGGCTCTAGAGTGCAGGCTCAGTAGTTGTGGCTCACAGGCTTAGTTGCTCCACGGCGTGTGGGATCTTCCCGGACCAGGGCTCAAACCCGTGTCCCCTGCATTGGCAGGTGGATTCTTAACCACCGCGCCACCAGGGAAGCCCCAAAAGACAATTTCTGAATCTTTCTTATAACCTGATTGTTAAATACTAAATCCACTGGCAATGAACTTTGCTGGGCATGTAAGTCCTTATGAGAATACTGACAATAAACATTTATCGAGAACTACCGTGTGCCAGGCACTGATCTTAGTGCTTCACAGATATTAACTAAGTTAATCTCCCAACCACCTCATGAGAGGTAAGAACTATTATCCCCACTTACAGCTGAGGACACCAGCACACAAAGAAAACAGGCAGGCAGCCCCAGCCAGTGGGTGGTGGAACTGGATCTGCATGCCAGCAGTCCAACTCAAGGTCCAGGAACCACACTTGACTGCTTGGAACAAGGTTTTGCTCACAGTGAAATACGGAAGGTGGGCTTCCCTGGTGGTGCAGTGGTTAAGAGTCCGCCTGCCGATGCAGGGGACACGGGTTCGTGCCTCAGTCCAGGAAGATCCCACATGCTGCGGAGCCGCTGGGCCCGTGAGCCACGGCCGCTGGGCCTGCACGTCCGGAGCCTGTGCTCCGCAATGGGAGAGGCCACAACAGTGAGAGGCCCGCGTACCGCAAAAAAAAAAAAAAAAAAAAAAAAATTACGGAAGGTGGTCACTGCTTCCGCAGGCAAGGAAAGAGATACGTCGTATTTGATTAAGGATGGGAGGAAAATAGCTTAAGGATTAAAAGCACAAGCTTGGGAGCCAGACTGCCTGGGTTCAAATGCTCTACTGTCTCATTAGCTTTAAGATCCAGGCAAGTCACTTAACCTCTCTGTGTCTCAGTTTTCCTGTCCGTAAAACGCAGATGATAATAATACTACCTATCTCATAGGCTTATTATGAGAATTAAGTGTTATTATTTGAATAGCACTTAGAACATTGCCTGGCACATAGGCAGCAATATGTGTTTGTTCAAAAAGTTTTTTTCAAGATCTTCCCTGCTGCTAAACGCTGTCTGACACAATACACATACCTGGACACATGTGGACTTCTATCTTGCGGGAACTTGATTCTACGTGATTTATTATGTTCACCATACAATATCCTGGGCATTCAGAATGCATATTCTCAAAGTGATTAATATTCTGTGGACACTGTGAAAAGCTGCACTGTCTCTGTATCTACTGCAGTCTGTTTCCGATTGCTCTATTTCAGTCAGTAGCATTACCGTAATACCCGTCGTCCAGGCCAAAGTCTTGTTACTTTTGACTCAGCTCCCATCTTTGTCCCTGGCACTCTGTCACTCATCATGACCTGTGGAGCCTTCTGTAGACAGTCCTATTGTATCAATCCCTTCTTTCCATTCCCATTGCCACTGCCAGATACAGCCCTTCAAAATGCTGAACTAGCCTCCTAACTGGTCTCCCCAGTCTCTCCTCTTTCTCGCTCATCTCACAAACCTACCAACACCAGATTAACCTTCCCACAATCTCTCTTGCATTGTGTGATTCACCTGCTCAGAACCCTACAATGCTTCTCCATTGCCCGTAGGATGAATTCTCTTCGGCCTCTGAAATCTAATCCCAGTCAATCGGCCTAGGTTCATTTCCTACCATTTGCCAACAAGACCCTCTGGGCCCTGTCTTCTCACAGGCTCCCGAAATATCGTGCTCATTCCCACCTCCCAGTTTTTTGTTCATACTTTCTATCAATCTATGTCTCCCCATCATCAGCCCCTTCACCCATTCTACATTCATCTCCTCACTCATTCGTTAATTCAACCAATATTTGCTGAGACTTACTATGCGTGGGAGGTGCTACAATGCGGAAGATTTTACCCCTGCTCTCAATAACCCCCCCCAGGTAATTCTACCATCTCAACAAACCTATTTTCTCTTTAAGTCTTCCCAGACCAAGCTTTCCAGGCTGGTCCAGCCCACATTGATCTTCTGATACTCACATTTTTCTACTGTCTTATAGTTTGAATTGTTTTATACGTTGGTTTTATTTCCTCCAATAAGACTATAATTTCCTTGAGAAAGGGAGCCGATTTTAGTATCATTACCTCTCGCTGTGCTTAGTATCCCTCACCTACACAGTGGGCATGTCATACTAATGACATTGAACTGTTTTGGCTGTTTTGACGAAATCCATATTGCCTAATATAACCTAGGATTTACTTCCCTTAAAGTAATTCCTAGGTTGGTGCTTTGAAACATAACACTTCCATCAAAGTTAGCCCCTAAGATAATTTTAACAAGGTCATGAGTTTTTGGATAGCAGTTACGACGATCATGCCACTCTTACTCTCACCCCCTGTATTCTCATCTAATGGTGGATCGGGTCAAAAATGGTCCAATCAGTGGCACGTGGAGATGCAGTCTTAATCTTCCCGACTCAAAATTCCCTGCACTTCTGATTGTCTCAAGTGATTAGCAACTCTGAATCATTCAGGACTCATCTATGAACTAGTGAACTGAACAGAGACGGAGCTCTAACTTTATATAGGAAGAGGGGAAGTGACCAATATGAGAATGGCTTCAAAAGAATGTCCATTAGGCTACTGACATTCAGGGAAAACAAATTTACACATCAGCTTAAGCAGAGAGAATTCCTAAAGGAAATATGTTGGCATATATAGGTGTGCATATATATGTATGTATATGTGTGTGTGCCTGCATGTGTGTACAGTTCAAGTACAAAGCAAATATATATGGTACCATTAGCATAAAAAACTGAAAAATTTTATGTGAATTCATATTTATTTGAGGCTGTATTATCCCTAACTTCACCAACTGAAAAGTTTTTATAAAAGGAATTTTTATAGACTCCAACTCAAATCTTCAATCTAGTAACAAGCATTGATTTATAGCGATTGATAGTTCATGTTTTCCTGGTGGCATACCCTTTATTCTGGAAATACTCTAAGTGAATGGAATGACTTCAATTTATAGAAGTATCATTATACTTTACAAAATCCTATAAGGCAATAATCCATCTCCCCTTAACTTACTCTTTGTTCTCTTACCCCCTACAAAACGGAAACCACACCAAAACCAAAATAATAAGAGTAAATAACTCCTTTTAACTGGAATGACTGATTTTAAAGTATCCCCTAGAATTTTTGCCTAATTGTTTTTAAATTATTAATCACTTAAATAAGTTACTGTTATAAGGTAAGTAATAAATCACTCTCACCTACTTCAGTCATATACTTGATCAATTCTTCCTTAGAAAGAAACCCACGTTTAGCTGGATCTAACACCTAGGGGAAAAGAAAAGATAGATATTATATTTTTTGTTTGGTGAATAAATTCTGCATGATGAATTTTTCATGTAAATATAAATATATATAAAATCTGGAATTTACACACCTCAAAAGCTCGATGAAGGATATCTTCTGGAATTGGTCTATATCTAATTATGCAATAAAAGGAGTAAATGCCACAGTATTTAGCTCAGTCTCTACATAACAAATGATCACATTAAAAAAAAAAGCTGCTAACATACTAGGATATTTAATAATACTTCCCTCACTGAAATATTTTTGGGTATCTAGATAATAAAGTTGAAAGTACTCCACAGCCACAAGGAATACTCACTGGCATGTTTGATGTTATCTATTAGCTTTTTCATTATTGTGGAAAATAATCCGAACAAAACTTGTTCCCATTATTATCTCCTCCCAGGTAGATGAAATTACATGCACTAAGACCCTGTGGGATGCATTGGAGGCCAGGAGGCTGGAGCATAGGGAGAAAGGAGGAGAATGTTTTCAGATGATGCTGGAGAGAAAAACAGGGACCAGAACGTGCAGGGCATTACCATCCATGAAAGTGACTTTGGTTATTTTTGTTTATTTGGGAACAAAATTTCTACAGTAAACCAACCATGGTAAGCTAATGCTACACTTTCTCTAGAAAAATAATTAGAGTTAATTCTTATTTATCATTGATAATTCAAAACAGAAGATAATAAGAATGTTGTTGATTTATGCTTTTTGCAGCTTATTTGCCCTTTAATTACACTTTGCTTATTAGATTAATACTGAAGTGGTTGATACTTCGGAGCACATACCAACCAGCAGTTCAGAAGTATAGAGAAAAATTAGAAGGAAGCTATCCTATGATAAATATCGATTGAGTATAACATATAAAGTGAAAAAGCCAAGTGTTTTGAAATTAATGCAAGTCCAATCATTATCTTACCTTAACAATTGCACTTATTTTCTTACCTTCTTTCCAGTAGTACTTCAGTCATCACTGGAAGAAATTTTTCAAATCGAATGTATCCAGTGGGTTCTTCTTCCTCCACCTAAACATTCAATAAAAAATAGCCACTTAGGGCTTCCCTGGTGGCGCAGTGGTTGAGAGTCCGCCTGCTGATGCAGGGGACGCGGGTTCATGCCCCGTTCCGGGAAGATCCCACATGCCGCGGAGTGGCTAGGCCCGTGAGCCATGGCCGCTGAGCCTGCGCGTCCGGAGCCTGTGCTCCGCAACAGGAGAGGCCACAGCAGTGAGAGGCCCGCATACCGCAAAAAAACACACCAAAAAACCAAAAGCCACTTATTCATTCAACAAATGTATTGAACAACTACTTTTTTCCAAGCACTGTGTCAAGTGCTGGGGATTTGATAGTGAGCATACTTGGGCATGGTCTCCACTGACAGAATTTATATGCTGGTAGTAGAGACATATATCCATCAACAAACAACAAAGCTGAGTGTCTAATTATAAGTTTATGTTAAGTACAATGAAGTAAAGGAGCATAGAATAAAGAAAACTTTTCTGGGCCAAATCATCAGGAAAGGCATTCATGAAGAAATCACACTTGAGGTGATTTATAAAAGAGGGTAGAAGACAATCAGACAAAGACAGCAGGGAAGACAGTCCCAGGTAGACGAAATTACAAGACCCTGTGGGATGCACTGGAGGCCAGGAAGCTTGAGCACAGGGAGAAAGGAGGAGAATGTTTTCGGATGAGGCTGGAGAGAGAAACAGGGACCAGAATGTGCAGGGCGTTACCATCCTTGAAAGTGACTTTGGTTATTATCCTAAGACACTGCTACCCTAAATCACTGAAGGTCTCATAGATGTGTGTCTGAAAGCTCACACTGGTTGTAGGTGAGGCAGCTTCTGCTGTAGTCTAAGCAGATATGACAAGGGCTTGGATTAGAGTGGTGGCCATGGAGAGAGAAGTGGGTGCTTTCAAGAAATATTTAAGAAGTAAAACCAATAAAACCTGGCACAGCATCTATTATGTGCAAGGATAAGAAAAAAAGAGGAGTCAAGGACAACTCCCAGGATTCTGACTTGCACAAACAGGATGGAGTAATGTTCTTCCCTGAGATAAGGAACACTGGGTTAGAGACCAGGTTAGGGGACCAATCTCAATCTCAAGGACTAAAATATCTATCGAATCCTTGTAATATTTATTAAATAACCAGATGGCCTGTGGAACATTGTTGTATCACCACTAATTAAGAGAAGACAACACCCAAGAGAGAATTTTTGGTACCCAGCACCATTAGATGAGAATGAGGAAGACTCATGCCCACAAGGTTCAACTTTGATGGTGTGGCTACCAATACGCTATTGATTTTAACTTTCATGTCACGCTATTTATGAGGGGATGTAAATTTTCCACTCCCTTTCAAAAATTCTATTAAAAGGCTCACACATCCCCGTTCAACAGTGGAGATTTTTAAAGATTTATTCTTTGAGCAAAAGATAAGAAATCTATAGGTGCTGCTAAGCGGAACACACTGTCATCAAATGACAACTATTTTTGAATGTTTATACTAGATTCTTACCTAGTATTAGTGAAGCCCTTGGACTCCACTATCGGCAAAAAATGTCATCCATCTAATGACAGAATGACGTGTTTCAGAACTTCTGAGCCCACCAATACGTGAACAATTATTTTCAGCTGCCTCTAGATCCAAGGCAAGCTTTTTGCAAATTAAGGTTCATATGGCTCCAATGTGCTTGAGTAGCACTCTGTAACTCCCAACCCCACAAGCCTCTTAAAAATAAAATGTCAATCTCATGAGACTGCCTCTGGAGGGATAATTTTTAAATTAAAATGTTGAGTTTCTATTCTAATTAATCCAGAAATCTGTTCCAGAAGCTAGAGCAATGGTTTGTTTCCCTTTCCCTACCCCCAACAAACCACTGCAGAGCAAACAGTCTTGACCTTGAAAGATCAAAGCTCTTCTTTGATTTTGAGCATCTTCATTAATCTACAAACTGTTTTTAGTTTCTCTAAAGGGAGTTCAACTCTATAGCGCTCTCTCCATCACATGAGAATTCACAAACACATACTATGTCTCTCATAATGCTTCCCCCCCCATCGCCACACTCCTGCACAACTTCCACAAGCCCTTGGTGCTCTGAACATGGGTGAAAATGTTGCAGGTCATTCTGGCCTGATAGATCTGTGTAGACCCAAAACTCCACAAAAATAATAAGTTAAAGCAAATCTCCAATAAATCAGGATAGCAGATGAGGCATACATTTTCCTTAGCTTTTTTTTTTTTTTAAAAAAAGAGGGATAATGAACAAACAGGGACCTTGGGGTTAAAAAAAGGAAGAAGAAAAAATGTGTAAGTCCATCTTCAACTTGGGCAGATTGTGAAAATCTTTCTATGACTCAACACTGTCCTCTAGAGGCCACAACTAATCTGTTCTTTTGTACTAAAAGACGTACAAGCAATGGCATAAAAACAATACAATTATATGATATTTCTAAATACAGAATTAATGTACTGTATAATATATACTATATACTACTTTCTAGTATAAAAAGCTTTATATTCTTTAAATAAATTTATTTTTGAATAGTTTTAGATTTACAGAAAACTTGAAAAGATAGTAGAGAGTTCCCATATACCCCACCCCACCCCGCCCCAGTTTCCTCTATTGTTTACCCTTTCCTTACCATGGGACAACTACACTTGGTTCATTGTCACAACTAATGAACCAATACTGACACATTGTTATTTATGCTTTATTTGGATTCCACTGGTTTTCTAAAAGGCATTTTAGGAAATTCCCTGGCGGTCCAGTGGTTAAGACTCTGTGCTCTCACTGCCGAGGGCCTGGGTCCAATTCCTGGTCAGGGAACTAAGATCTTACAAGCTGTGCAGCATGGCCAAAAAGTAAAAATAAATAAGTTAAGTTTAAAAAAATAAATAAAAAATAAAAGGCATTTTAAAAAAACCTGGTACGTTCCTCTACCATAAAAGAGAAACAAGAAGAGTAGGGTAGAATACCACTCCTGGCAATCTGGAAATGAGTGGGTAGAGGGAGGATAAGAGGTGTTTCTATTATTTCTGGTGTTTCTATTATTTCTGGACAAACTAGTTAACTTTATGAGGCCATGAGTAAGACAGGACAAAAACACTACTTTCTAGAAATGTTATGCAATGATGGCTCAATGATTATTTAAATCCACATATTAAAATGCCTTTAAGATTTAATAGAAATATATCAGATATTGAACCATTCTTTATAGTATATTGTATATAGATAGATAGATAGATAGATAGATAGATAGATAGATAGGTAGAGTTATGGGTTGAGTTGTATCTTCCCAAAATTCTTATGTTGGAGTCCTAACCCCTAGTACCTCGGAATGTGACTTATTTGGAGAGAGGGTACTCCCTGAGGTAATCAAGTTAAAATGAGGTCATTAGGGTGGGCCCTAATCAAATATGACTGACGTCATTATAAAAAGGAGAAATTTGGACACAGAGACATGCACACAGGGAGAACGTCATGTGAACATGAAGACAAGCCATCTACAAGCCAAGGAGAAAGGCCTGGAACAGATCCTTCTCTCATAGCCAACGGAAGGAACCAACCCTGCCAACAACTTAATTCTGTACTTCTAACCTCCAGAACTGTGAGACAATAAACTTCTGTTGTTTAAGCCACTGTTTGTGGTACTTTGTTACAGCAGCTCTAGCAAACTTTATACACACACACACAAACACACACACACGCACATTGTTGTGAACCTTACATGAGATATGACATAAAGGTTCTTTGTGAGCCTTGAATTATTATGATTATCATTATTTTTTTTTGATGTTGGGGGTAGGAGTTTATTAATTTATTTTTGCTGTGTTGGGTCTTCGTTTCTGTGCGAGGGCTTTCTCTAGTTGGGGCAAGCGGGGGGCACTCTTCAGCGCAGTGCACAGGCCTCTCACTATCGCGGCCTCTCTTATTGCGGAGCACAGGCTCCAGACGTGCAGGCTCAGTAGTTGTGGCTCACGGGCCTAGTTGCTCCGCGGCATGTGGGATCCTCCCAGACCAGGGCTCGAACCCGTGTCCCCTGCATTAGCAGGCAGATTCTCAACCACTGTGCCACCAGGGAAGCCCGATTATCATTATTTTAATCAATAGTGTACACACTTCTGATTCTATATCATGCAATGATACCTCCTCCTAAAAGAATCAATCTCTGGTGCTAAAATTTTGGACACATCCTCCATGACCCACCATATGGACCTAACTTTTTACAGAAGTTTGATCTTGCCTCCTATCTGTAAAATGTCACATGGAACGTGACGTGAATGTATTAAACTGCTAGGCTAATATCTTGTCCCTTGAGCCCTGGATCCCTGCCTAGAGGACAGGGTATGTGGATTAGCAGCAGTGATGTCTCCACCTTTGCTGTTCCCCTACATGCTTCTTGGACTGATAGGAGAGGGAGAATAATAGACAGCCACCAAACACCTCCCTCCTCTTCAAAAGACAAAAACAAACAAAACAAATATATCTTGTTACTACAAACATGAATGAGGCAAAGTAAGTTATAATCTAGTCTGTTTCATCTAAGAGAAAGGCTTATGAGCTTGAAAGGAGGTAATAATTAGAAAGTAACCTCAGTAGCATTTATGAATGCAAAAGAAATAAAACCTCTTTGCAGGAAGATCCTCAGCTTAGCCTTCAAGTACCATCCTGTGAATTCATCTTAATAGCCTGCCAGCAGGTGTCCGCCCTGATACACCTGGCTTCTCCTCCTCCAAAGAACTATGGTGATAGAGGCGACCTGAAGACACTGCTTCCTTGCCACACAAAGGGGCCACCTGAACAAGGCTAGCACAGTGCCTTCAGACAGTCCATAGTCTCTTTGCATCCTTGTGCCCAATACAGAGAAGTCTCAATAAATATGTAAATACTGTGGGATTTTTTTTTAAAAAGCAACATTTATCTAAGTCTCAAAGCATGAGGCAAATACTGTTTCTCACTCTACTTTGGTAAAAGTCAATTTTCTTAATCTGTTTTGCTTCTGAGGAAATTCGGGCA